CAGGCTGCTCTTTAGATGACCCTTCCTAACCCAAAACAAAGCTGGCCATGGGTGTGAGAACTTTGATCGAAGTTTACCATCCAGAAAAGTGACCGCACCCTGGGTCTACCCCCCAGCGAGCTTCCACTAACCTGGCACACCCATAACCAGCACCCAGACAGAGAAGCCACAGGACCTGCCCCTTGGAGCCCCAGCTATTTCCCTCTAATCCTTCACCCTCCCCAAGAGCAGAGATTAGTTTCTGAATCAAAATAAATGCAACCAATACCATTTACTCTTTTGTGCCTGGCGTCTTTCATTCAATCTTATAAGATTTAACCATATTTTTGTGCTTAGCTGTCAACCCTCTTGTTCATTGCAGTATACTACTCCGTTGTGTGATTAAACAACTATTCATTCATTCTAAAGATATCATTCTTTTAAACTATTTGGAAGGGGCACTTCCCCCACGTTCCAGCTCATTCAAACTTCAAATCTCTGTTTTGAATCTTTTTATTAGCTTTTCCCCCCGCTAAATCTGACTATTCTAATAAACTTCTAATGACCTCACAGTTTCATCTGCCTTCCAAATAGACTCTTCTCACAAGCATCCAGAAAGACAGAGCTGCCCAGACCCCTCGTTCTAAACCTCCAGTGTCCTCTCCTCACCCAGCACGTGTGATGCCCCCCTGAGGCGATGGGGTAAGCACTTGCTTGAATCCTGTGTGCCCATTTGGAAAACCTGTGGTCTCTATTTTTACCCCAGGGCTCCATGCCCATTTTCCTGCCTATGGGCACTGGGTCCAGCTGCTTGCCCTGAGGTCACCTTTCCCACCAAGGCTCTGCCTCTCCCACTGACCCTGTACCCCTGGGCAGCTGAGCTTGCAGCCACTCACTGCTTCCCAAGCCTGGGGTCTGAGGGAGACGTCCCAGTTCCTGGCTGGGCTGGCCCGGCCTTCAGGCCTCGAGGTGGACTCCCGGGCTGCTCTCTGGGAGGAGGGGACAGGGCATTCACCGTGAGAGGTCCTGTTGGAATCCTGAGGGCCTGACACATGGGGAGGAGGGAGGGACTGAAACCAGGCAGAGAAACAGCTGTCTGCGTGCTGCAGTCCTGGGCCTGAGGATTTTATCACCATGTGTGCTGAAGCACCAGTTTTCTTGCTTTCTAATATTCTTAGCCCCTAATGTAACACAAGACCTGCTTTTTCAATTTTTGTTTCTATGAGGATGTGTTTAGAGTGTGTGATGATTTCATTCAGCCTAGGGAGCTGGTACATGGCACAAAACACAGCTCAGTTCTTGCTATGTCCTTTCTGACCTTGAATTCACTTGAAAAGCATTAAATTCTGTCCACCTGTACCCTCAAGGCATCACCTTCTCTGAAGTGAGGAGGAGCCTCGAAAAGCAGGACTTCCCATGGAAACAGACTCTTCATCATCACCGCCAATTGTGGAGTCAACATCTTTTATCTATTGATGAGACCTTCCCCGCGATCCAGGGAGAGATGTACGGGAGCTGCTGGGCTGGGCTGAATGCCCTGCCCTCTCCTCCGGAGAGCACCCCAGGAGGCCATCTTGAGGCCTGCAGGCAGGGCCAGCCCAGCCAGGAGCTGGGACCTCTCCCTCAGACCCAAGGCTCGGGAAGCAGAGAGGGGTAACCAGGGCAAGGAGTACACTGAAGGAGCCAGGTGCAGGTAGCACTCCCACGGCCTCACAGAACAGCCTCCCCCAGAAAGCAGGGGATGTGGGGCAAGTGGGAGTGGGAACCTCAAAGCTGGTGGCCACTGACACCAGCACCGTGCTGGCCTCAGCCCATGCCACCTGTGCCCTCAACACTGCCACCTTAAAAAAGTGAGTTCCATAAAAATTAGTAATCAGGAGTCACTGGGATTCCGACTGTATTTTAAACAGTTCATGCGTATTCCCCTAAAAGACCAACTTCAAAAGTCCTGCAGGGCTGGAAGCACAGAGGCAGGTGGGGAGAACAGCCTGCAAATGATAAACAACGCTGCCTACTGGCAGCTGGAATTTTTGCAGGGTGGCCGTCTGATTTAATGGCCCTGTCGCTGCATGCGTTGACATGGCAACTGTGGAAAATGCCATAAATATCTGAGTCGTGGACTTGCATGGTATGTTTACATTGTGGGCGGTGTATTGTGAGACATGTGGTGGCCGTTGTCCCCTCCAGTTGGAGACGTCTGGAGGTGACAGCCATTTTTTAGAGTCGTTGGGCTAAATGACTCTCCCGACAGACACTGCTGCAGGTTGGAGCTGTGTGTTTTTGTGTGTATTTGAGAAATTAAACGCAGCATTTCATGAGCCACACTGCCTCACCACAACTTGCAGTGTGCCAGGAGCCACTTTTCGTTTCGGAGTCCAGGCAGTGTTGGATCGCTTCTGAATTCAGCACACTAGCAAGCAATGACAGCTTTTATGCAAAACAGAAGCAAACAAGCACTTGCATAAATTTATTGAAACCCAAATCCTACTCCAGTCATTCCATTCCTCAAGGTAAAAGAGAAAACGGCTGATTTGCTTTGTGTTCAAGCTCTCTTAGGAGGACAGTGACATCCATACCTTCCCCGTGCATGGTGGATTTTCACAGTGTTAGTCCCTGAAGGCCACCAGAGAAATGCACTTACCAGCAAAACATTTTTGAAGCTCACCTTACAAGGGGGCACTCTGCCTTGCTGGGTCTTCAAGTGGCTAGAGATGACAGAGGAGGGTCTCAAAGGCACCCCGGGCCAGAAGAAGGTCCCTGTCCAGGAAGACCCGGCTCTGTCTCTCAGAGCTCATGATAGTATGGGCTTGGATTCATGGACACAGCGAGGCAGGGGCTTAAAGCAAACCTTGCCAAGGAAACTACTCTCTAGCAAGTTGGTCACCCCATGGCTTTCTGGTGTCACTTTCTCATAAAGAGATTGGGACAGGCAGCCAAGCGGTTTGGCCTGGTGTTAGTGTCTTTGATCCAGGCACAGGGAAGGATGACTACTTTGACCTGCATTGTCCTGCACAGGGTCAGGAAATCCTGTTCTGTTCTCAGTGGCTTTGGGTGAGTCATCTAATCTCTCTGTGGGTCTTGTTACCCATTCATTCATTTATTCATGCAGCATTTCACTGAACAGGCACTGAATGCCCAACTTAAGACACAACGGGAAGACTGACAGCTTCTCCCAGGGGACCTACCGTGTATCCAGTTGGTTCTCTGAATGAGTTACTCTTTTGAGACTCTTAAGTTTCAAGGAGCCAAGACAAGCAGAGATATTGCTAATTATTTTTATTTTAAACATCGTCTAGCATGTTAGAAAGCACGGGACTCTGTTTCAGTAAAGCAAGGCCAGGCCTCGTGGAGACCTCCCATGTTTGTGGCGGTGGTTCTGGAGAGAGGGGGTGCTTGACTGATTGTCACGATCCTATGTGGTTTTTATCTCTGGCACAGCACTACCTCCCAGATGAGCACTGAGATTTGAGGTATCATCTTATGGGTCTGAGCCCTGGCATAATTAGTGATGCTTATGACCACATGCATAAGAAATCCCTGGGCCACCTTTGCACATCTGCCCTCTAATCCCTCAAAGCAAAACCTGTGGCTCCGGGTCTGGGGTGCACCCATGCTGAGCAAGGACCTCACACCCAGGAGCATGTCCCACACACATTCATTCATTTGTAGGTGGCTCATTAATCCTCACGTACTTTTGCTGAGACCCAAGTCTTCAAGAGAGTCAAACTTAGCTCCCTTCACTAAAATTATTTTATTATTTTAGTTTTTAAGCATTTTTGCAGTAGAATATCCTATTGTATCCAAAGCAGTTATGGAGAATGCCTAAAGTAACAAACAGAGAAACACGGTGGACATGAAATGAGGAGTTTTAAAAGCTTAGTCTTCCCTTTATTTTCCCCTTTCACTTTAATCTTCGGTTTGCAGAAGAACCAAAATATTGTCAGCGAAGAGAAGACAGATTTGTCACGTCTTAATTTGAAGGTAAAGAATTGCCTTCAATCACTGACCTTTATTTCTTTGTCCTGGGATCACACTGTAACTATGGAGCCTGTTTCAACACGAAGTCCTCGGGAGAGGGTTTAACAGCATCGCGGGCGGCAGGCCCTGTCCTTCTCACGCCCACCAGGTATTGATGTGTTTGGTTAGAGACCCATTCATCATGGCCCAAGCAGTCAGCAGGCACACGGAGATGGCCTTTTGTCTCCCAGACCTCTCATTTACCTTGTTCCAGACTAGCTGTGTACGAACACGGGAAAACTTCGTGCCTTCCTTGCATGGTAAATGGAGGTTGCCATTAACCCTTTGGGGCACCAGGACTAGAAGGTGCCTTTTGCACAAGCCCTTCTGGCCTACACGATGCTTTACTAAGAGAGAGGCTGAGGGTTTAATCATTTTCTCTGTGGCTGACAGCTGTGACTTCCCCCAGGCCACTGTCATAGGATGGACAGAAGTCAATCCACAGGGGCAATGGGTGGAAATTGTGGTATTCAGAAGTGACAAAGAAATGCCATTCGCAGCAGTGACCATCCAGTAGCAATGAGCACACTTGGGCCCAGGTCTCGGTTTCCAACACCATGCTCCAGTGGGTGGAGCCAGAGCTCCCTGGACAGTGGGTGACAGTCACACACACAGAGACAGGAGACAAGTGAGATGAGCCTGGTCACCGGGCAGTGGCTGGATGCAGAAAAGTTCTCAGGAAAACACACAGCAACAGAAGAGTGTCCTAGGGGCCTGGGAACACACTGAAAGGGTTTTGGGGCCTGAGGCTGGAATAGTACAAGCAACCAGAGTGCTGGAGTTACAGTAGTCTACAACCTTGAGTACAGAGTGAATATCCTGAGTATATACTGAGAAGTAAGTATAAATAAGTAAGTGGGATAGAAGAGATGAATCTCTTATGCACAAAGAAAAATCACAGTGATTTATGAAAACCCTGCCTCCAGTGTATAGCAAAACTTCCACTTCTGCATGTAGGCTGCAGGGGTGACTTCCTTCCAAAGAACACAGAGTGGAGGCTGGAGGAAGAGGAACTCCACTGCTTCATTCAGACTACATGACAAACTTGACCTCAGCAGGTGCCCAAGGTCATCTTGACATCCATCAGTCATGCTAACCACACTGCCCTTCGACGGGATGCTCTGAGTACACTCTACTCCCGCTTCTTCCTCTCAGTCCCATGACCCCAGCCTTAGCAAGAGCTAAACCCAGGATGTATCCCGAGGGGGTACTTTCTATGGAGTGCCTGGCCATGCTGACCATTGTCAGACCCTGGAAACCATGAAGATCTGAGCAACTGTGACCGCTGAAGACACTGGGGAGATAGACCCTGGAACAGGAAAAGAATATTAGGTAAAAACCAAGAAAATCCATACAAAATACAGATCTAAGTAAATTGGAGTTAACATGTCCACAATGATCATTAATTGTGACAAATGCACCATACTCAATAAAATGTTAATGATAGGAAAAGTGAAATGGCAATGGTATATGAGACTTCTCGGTACTATTTTAGACATTTTTTCCATAAATCTCAAGCTACTCTTTTTTAAAAATTTATTTTAAAAGTGTGGACTAGCAAGGACAATAATCATATCTTTATTTTTCTGATTGCTATGATTCTTCTCACAATTCCTCACCCTTTGATCAGTGAGAACTGAAGTCATGCAGTTCTGGATCAGTGTCTTAAACACTACCGGGACCAGACATGGCCCCTGTCCCTGAGCTTGGCATTGTTGGGAGCAAGCCAAAGCAAATCATCTGCTTGCTTCAGGAATCACCTAGAAAGGCAGTCAGCTCCAGGAGCTTGCTCATCTCCAAGATTTGCTTCAAGACATTTTCCTTGTGAAATCTGGCAGTGCAGAGCATTAAGGTACTAACTCTGTCCCCTCTCAAACCATCCCCAGCCAGCAAAGCCTGCCCTCCTGTTACCCCATCCAGCCCTGATTTCCTCATCCTTAGACACCAAGACTGCCCAGGCGGGCAGGTGAGCACCCCTCAGACTCTAGCAGAACAATGAGCTGGTTTTGTTCCATCAACAGTTTCTTTGGAGGTCTTTTGGGGACCTCCAAAGACAGTGAACAGAAGTGAGTCGGGGCAAGAGAACTCACTCTTGTCTATTAAAACCATATTAGTTTCTTCCATTCTTACCCAATTTCCAGTCAGATAAACACCCATGGGACAGAAGTTCTCCTCTCTCAGGATGGCTCTAATCCTCCTGCTTTGGCCCAAGATGGCAACTGTGGGTGGCTGTGGCTTTAGCATCTCTGGGGTGTGGTAAGGAGCATGGACCCTGGGCTTGCTTCTGTACTCTGCTGGGGTAGACCCAGGCTTGTGTCTGCTAACCATAGACCCATGTCTGCCCTCTGGCTAAGCTGGCTGAGGGGCTCCCCTCCCTGACCACACAGAGCTCTGGCTGCCACCCCATTTGGGGGAGGTCTGAGCCTCGGCCGGGTGTGTTTTTCACCATGGTGGTTCTGCCCAATGGGGCCCGGCGCCCCAGGGAAAGCTCTGGAGTATGAGCAAGGCCTCCTTCCACCCGAATCAGCCCATTGTGCTGGCACCACTCAACCGTGGCCACCCTGTGGGGAGTCAGGGCCACCCTCTGTGTGCTTTCCAGCCAGGGTTTCAAGGTTTTGGTTTTCCCAACTTAAGACTTAGCCCAGCCCAAGATTTCAGTCCAGATGGGTGACAGCAAGTCATTGGCTGTCTCATGCCTTCCTCCTACCTCGGCTCCCTTCCTTCCCTGGTCACCATCCAGAAGGTGCCTCCCCCATGACCTGGACTCTGTCTTCAGAGGTGACTTCCATGGGCCTAGGGTGACTCAGGGATGTCCACTCAGATCCCCTTTAGTAAAGAACTGATGACCAGCTGTAAGGACAGCAGTGAGCTGAATGTCTGCATGGTTTGTCCCCAGGGGCTGGCACTGTCTTTGAGTCCCGATGTCTTTCCTGAATGGCACACAGACAATGACTGGCCACACAGGCCATGTCCCCCAGCATGGACCCCTATGGGCCATCAGTGGTGGAGTTCTTGTTTCTCTGAGCTGTGCTGCCCTGCACTTTGAGACTCCTCTGCAGCTCCCTCCCTCCCTTGCCCTTATACTTCCCTGGGGTCAGCCCTTCCTCACGGTCCCAAGGCTCCTTGCCACTTACCACAGTTCTCTCTTGCTCCCTTATTCTTGCCTCTTCATGGAGGAGCCACGAGGTGACCTGCAATCCACAGAGCTTGGTGAATGGCTGAGGGCAAACACTGGCTTGTGAGGGAGCAGACAGATAACCCACAGGGCCAGCATCCCTGTGTGACATCACAGCTGAGGACACACGGCTAGCTGTCCTGGCAAATGCCCAACCTGGACGTCTCCCTGAGGCTGGCCGGATGCCCCCTGCTCCCTCCCTGCTGCCACTGCAGATGGACATCTGCTTTTTTCCTCAGAGCTTCTCCCTGGGCTTCAATATCATCAGCAGGACCCTGGAGGGGAGAAAAAGGAACTGGTGATGTTCTTCCCACCTTTCTGCCCTCTGAGTCACTATAGGTGAACCAAGGCCCCCAACAGAAGGCTGCAGCCCTTGAAAGTGAGCAGAACTCATTCAGGCTCTGGTGACTACTTCCTGGCTTGCCCATCCAGTCCCTGTGATGCTGCCCTTTGGGGCTGGACTCAGGTCCTGCACACTTTGTGTGTGGCTGAGTGCCAGGTCCTGAGTGACTGAAGCAGAGGCCAGACACAATCTTAGAGTTACCCACATTCACTCAGCATAACGTCACCATTTTACCAACCAAAATCTGAACCATCAGTTTAAATATCATACTATTTCTCAATTACGGGGAAGGGAAAATGTGAATCCCAGCAGATTCTCTATAAATATGTTGCAGAGCCGGGGATATTGCTCAGTGGGACAATGCCTGCCTGGCAAGTACAAGGTCCTGAGTTTGATTGTCAGTACCAAATAAATAAATAAATATGTTGCAGTAATTATTGAAATAAAGATGATTTGAGTCTTATGTTGGAGTTTCCCCACCACTGGCCATCATAAGTGGCACAGAGCCCGTCAAAGGCTGTAATCAGTCACACATGAGTTCAGTGGAACTCAACATCCTGGGGTGGTTAATGTTGACTGGCAACTTGATTAGGTGGAGAAACACCTAGGAAATAAGTAAAGCTCATTATGGGTGTGTCTGAGGTGTTTCCAGGATGACTGGCGTGTGGGACACCCACTCTGATTGTGAGTGGCTTCATTCAGTAGCTGGGAACCTGCCTGAAACAAAAGATAACAAGGGTGTCTCTCTCCCTCTCTCCCCTTTCTGGCTGCCAGGAGGTGAGCAGCTTTCCTCCATCACACTCTTCCACTATGATGTTTCTGCCTCACCACAGGCCTAAAGCAATGGAGCCAGCTGACCATGAAGTGACCCCTCTGAAATCATAAGCCAGAGCCAACCTTTTCTCCTTTTAAGTTGTTTTTCTCATCTATTTTGTAACAGTGACAGAAAGCTGACAAACATAATACTATATGAAATTTTTAAACATCCTATTATATCAAGTCTCTTAGAATTATAGAATGAGATTCTTCTGATTACTGTAATTACATTCTGTTTTGATGGTTATCTCTAACCCAAGTAAGATTTTGATTTCTCACATACATTGAAGGGTAAATTGAACAGTGATTCAGGACAGTGGTTTTGAAACTCTTTTCTTTGTTTTCTCATAATTCTTTTTAGAAGTTAAGAAAGCTAGGAACTGCCTCCTCAGACAAGTACAAACATGGCCATATTTGCAAATTAGACAAAACAATTTCACACAGTTGGCAAAACTTTATGTCCCATAGTTCTTGGTCTTCAAATTGTAAATATATGATGCACAGAGACGTATGAAAACAACACAACCCTGGAAGACTGTGTTCAGGGAAGACACCTCCCACATAAGCACACTCACACATACAGGTACACACGCAAACACACACACAAGCCAACACAAGGAGGGGACTACTAACTTGACAGGCAGTGAGGGAAACATTAGACCCAGTACATGCAGATGTGTCTTATGTGTGCATGAGGGAATGTGTGCACACAGGTGCACAAATGTCATTTTTAAGTGAATTTGAGTTTCAGAAAATAAGTGATTTTTCCAAAGGCTCATGATTCATAAAAGTCAATTCTGTGTTCTAATGATTCCTGAGCTGTTCTAATACTTACCTAGGAACACAGAGAAGCAATCTGGGAAGGGAAACGTGAGTTTCCATCAGAGTGTACCATATGCCTCTGTGTCAAACATTTGACTTAAATTGATGCCCTGAGTCCTGTGTGATATCCATACCATCTATGCCCTGTGTAGCCTGGTCAGTGTTTGTATTACCATTGTTAAGTCACCTGAGTGGGAAACACAAGTAACTTTGATGGTTACTGTCCTTCACCAACAAATCCTATGCTTATGAGTGAAAAGTCTCCCTTCTGCCTCCTCTGGTCATGCTTGGCAGTGAGTCAGTGTCCTCATCCCCCAGCCCACATCTCCCTCACATGTCACCCTTCTGAAAGGCACAGGGATCTTTCTGCTGCCTGCCCTTGCTCAGAATACCACATGGTGCTGTCCTTACTCCTGGAGGAGGAGCCCATGCTGTCTATTGAGGTGAGGGGAGACCTTCCTGTCTGGCCTCTGATTACCTCTCAGCCCTGCTCCTCCACATCCCTCTCTACATACCAGAGGCACCCAGGCCCTACCATCTGTCCCCACATGACTATCCTGGTCCTCCATGTCTTCACTCTTCTGTGATCTGACTCCACTGTCACCTGCAAGGTGGGGGCCTCCTTGTCCGGGAGACCTCAACCATTGCTTGAGCCACATTTTCAGAGTCCTCATGACCCTCTCAGAGGGGGATGGCTCTCTCTTGCTTCTTTGCTGCTACCTTGCATTTGGCTTCTGTGACAGACCTGTTCTGTAGAGGAGATGCTGCTTAGCTGAGCTCCTGTGTCCACAGAGAAGGAAAAGGAGAGATGGTCACTCGGCTATGTTCTCCTCATGCCCGGCAGGTGGCAGACCCAGACATGCTGTTGAGGAAATGAGTGTATCTCCATATCTCTTTCAAGAAACTCACTAATTGCACTTCCAGGCACCTTAAAAGACCAAGTAATTTGCTAAATGGCCTCTTGCTCATTACAAATTAGGCTATGAATCACCAAATGAGAGGGCTGGCCAGTGATAAACTCAGAAGTGCTGAAAGTCCTGTTGTGCTTCAGCTCCGAGGAGCTCTGGCTCCTGACACTGACATGCTTAGTGTTACCTAGGCTGTCCATAGACATCGAGCCACAGCCTGGATCTGGAATGTGCTCACAGACCCCTGTGTCCTAGGCTGGGTCCTCAGCTTGGTGCTACTGAGAGGGGGTGGAGCCTGTTGGAGGTGGGGCCTGGTGGGAGAAAGCTAGGTCACTGGTGCCCTGGAAGGGCACACTGGGGTCCCCACCCTTTCCTTTCTCTCTCTGTGCTTCCTGGATGCCAACCTTCCTCCATCACACACTTCTACCATGACAAACATCCATGCCCAAACATCCTCATCATGGACCCAAAAGCAACAGGGACCTCTAATAGTGGGAGCTAAAATGAACCTTTCCTCTCTGTGAGTGTATTTATCTCGGGTATTTGTTTCAGTAACAAACAGCTGACTAACTCACTAGGCACATGCACAGACACACACATGCATGAAGACACACATAGGCACATACGTATGTGCACATATGCATTCACTTGTGCATACATATAGTTGCAGATGTGCACATGTGTGCATACACAAGTGTGGGAGCAACTGTGGAGGCGCCTTGTGTAGTAGACACTTTGCAAGTGCTTGATGTCATCTGGGCGCTAAGCTAATTGCTTCAACCCGCTGTTCAATTAACCTAAAAACACTATTAAATTAACTGTCCCTACTTGGAGGTGGGTTATTTTCAATGCAGGTGACTGTCGTAGGTACACTGAGTCTTCACATGGAGTTGGGCTTCCTTCCTTTCTCCTCTTCCTCTCCTTCCCAGACTTTCTCCTTGCCCCAGGTAGGTGACTCAAATCTGCTCTTGTAGGGTCAATGTCTCAGACAACTGAATTGCTTTGGAGTGAGAAGCAACTAGGAAAAATGACAACAGATCAGTGAGACACTGGCCCTGGAGCAGGGGCCACGCCACTCAGAGGGAGAAGGCAAAGTGCACCATGGTATCATGAGAGCCACTGGCCAAGGTTATTGCTGTAGGGGCATGCTGGGCCAATGCTGGTGCTGGAAGTGTGGAGTGGGGCTGCCCCAGCAGACCTGAAGGATCCTCACAAAGAAAGGCAAGGATTATCTGAGAAAGCAGTGTGTGTGCGTGTGTGTGTGTGTGTGTATGTTTATATTTCATGTACACGTATACATGTAAGCTTTTCACTTTCTTTGCAAGTTAAAACTCCCTAAATCTATATCTGTTTGCTCACAGCCACACACCCAATCACATACACACACACACAATCACACACACACACACACACACACACACAAATACTTCCCTTTATAACCACCCGCACAGTTGTATCAAATTATGTTTCACAGAAAGAAAACAAAACCAGGCTGATTTTCCAACAGGCCTGAGAAAGCCCCCCACCCCATGAGCTTGTACAGCCACCTTTCTGAAGCCCACAAATTGCTTTCAACAGAGAGAGCTCACAGCACAGTGCACTCGACTATCCCCACCCGAGATGACACTGAAGCAGGTCTTGTCCGTAATTCTGGTGAGGGCCACAGCAGGCCTCCTGCAAGGAAGAAAGAGGACTCTAGAATGGATTTCAGTTCTCTACTTGGAAAACAAATAAATACTAATAAAGCCAACAAAAAGTCAAAACAGAGCTGGGCCTTGCAAGTATAACTGGAGCCAACTTCACAACTGCTGCTGAGCACCATCCAACAGAGAGGCAGCCTCAAAAGCTGACGCTGTGTCTTCACCCACCTTATTCACTGGATCAGGCACTGTGTGACTGCTGGCTCATCCCCAGTCAAAATAACCAAGGAAGGTCAACATTTTGAATGGATTCAGGATATCAAGGTGGCCAGAACAGTGCAACTGAAGACACTCAGGAAAAAGGACTCCAGAGCTGCTGCAGGAAGTATGGAGAAGGATGGGATGAGTGTGTTCAAAGCAAGTGGGAGTATTTTGAGAGGGATCAATGGCAATGTGCTGTGCCTTTCACTATAATTTTTTAAATTGACACATTCACCATACATTTCAAGCATACCTCCTATCATGCCTGTGACCAGGTAATTTATAAAGAATAGTTTATTTGGCTCCTGGTTCTAGAGGTAGGACCTCTGAAAGTGTAGTGCTGGCATCTGACCAGTTCTTCCTGCTGCTGACAGTGTAGCAATGCCAAGCACCGAGTTCCCAAGGCAGACCCGTGGCCAGGGAGGGCAGCGGACCCATCTCTGAACAGGAGTTTCAGAGGACATGAGGAAATTTCACCCTCCGCAGAAAGCATGATTCTGCATCTGGGCCTCTGGTGGTGTCCTGGACACCTGCCTGCCTTCACTTCTCCCTGTCTCCTTTCCTGAGTCACAGAAGGTAGGGCAGGGAATAGTCCTGGAGGTCACTGT